AGTGTCATAAGGGCATACACGGTATGAATACAAATGTAAAAAAAAAAAAAAAAAATTAATCACAGATGTTGATTGTAATCCCCTACTTATTTTCTGATTTAACTGCAAGTATAGTGGTCTGGAAACTACACTAACAAATACTGACTGTATAATAACGAGCACTATGGTGTTCTTGAACCTTTTGTACAGGACAAATTGGCATCAGTGGGGTTCTACCTAAGAGATGCTGTGATATCATGGGCTGCACAGTGAAGCCCTAAAATGGGCCACTAATGTCTGTAAACGATTAGAATAGTAATACTTCATCTAAATCATAGAGCCTAAAAGGTCTCATATATCAACACGTTCATCTGTCTGCCAGAGGACTGCCCATGTTCTGAAACTTCACAACAGTCCAAAGGAGAGCAAATAATAGTGATTAACGAGCAAAGAACAATGTAGTTATTGCAGTGGAGTTGATCTCTGAAACAAAGCAGAATTTAGCAGCTAAATAAAGTGGAAGCTATTAACTGCATCTTTATTACTATGCAAAGGCAAGTAGCAACTGTGTAATTTAAATAGGTCCATTATGTAACATTTTTTTCTAATTCATTCCTGATCTGCTAAACTAATCTCTATTTTTTAGGAGGTTTGAAAATGAATTAAATGGATGAAAAATGCAGCTGAAACCCAGGATTATTTAAGGAATGGAGAACAATAGGAAAGCATGGCAAGGAAAGATCATCCATTTGACAATGAAGCAACATCCTGAGCCCGAAGCACAATACTATTGAGTAAGCATCTGAGAAAATGTTTTATTTCTTCACCCAGGATGCATTCTCTTTCCTCTTTCTCCTCCTCTCCTAGCAGTGGAGTTTGACTTAGTGCTAACCTTGAGAAGTTTAACTTGGTGCTTCCTAGATGGGACGAAGAACTCCATTTGTTATGTAGCTCTGTAATTCCACATCCTACATTTATAGTGGATCTGGAAGTGCCAGTTTCGTCCCATTTAAATATGGGCACTGAATGAAGGCAGCTACCGGTGGGTTGTAGGACTCCTAAACACCCTTTACAGTCAATGGAGAGAAAGAGAGACACTCCAGCAGCTGACAATTCAAAGAACCAAAACATGGCTCCCCTTGTGGAGACCTCTCATTCTCTGTAGGTTGTAAAGGAAATAGTTACACGCTTAACACAGGTGGCTGAAGTTAGGTGGGGTGCCTCCCATCCAACTTTGCATGATCCCGTGCTTTTACAACTCCTCCTCCCTACCAGAAGTGAAGGTTCAAGAGTTTCTTCTCTCCACAACGTTTGTTATATGGGTTTCAAAAGGTGCTCCTACCACAAACTTTCAGGCAGCATGAGCAAGGATATTTACCTGGTTACAATTCTAGCTTCCTCCAAATCACGTCTTGTTAGGTAATTATCAGAAAATAAATCTTTGTCTGTCCAATAATCATGCTGCAATCACGCAAGCCCTAAGATTTTTATTTTTCAAAGACATCATGATGCCTATCAGGACATAAGAAATTTTCACCTTATTTTTTGATCACATGCACTAAGCCATTGCATCACGTAAGAGTGGTGCAGCACTGTCAGTTAATTTGGTGCAGCATTTCAATAATGAAAGTCAGGGACTTTTGAAGATTTGGAAAATATATTGAAAGGCTATATATTTAAAAGTAACACCTTTTCATTTAGGCATGTAAAACCAGCGTTACCCTTTTATCTAATTTCCTGCCCCTTTTACTAGCGATTCAGTTACACCTCTTTTCTGTTAGGAACTGGCAGTTCAGTAGTTCAGTGGACCAAAAAGTAATGCAATATTTTGCAAGCTTTGTTGGAAAAATAATATAGTAGTGCTATTACTAACAAGGAACATACTCATACTATGACTGGGCTTTACTTCAAAAAAATTAAGGAAAAGTAGCGAGTACAGATCTGCTCACTGTTGCACTTGCACAATCCTTTGAGATTAACGAGACCTGTACATGCTTACCTGAAGATACAAGTGAGACCTACTCTTGCACTGAATGTACTAAAAAGCACCAAGTTTGTTCAAACTCACTTACAGGAATAATTTAGACTCACACATTTCAGTCATGCTCTGTGTAAGAAGTCCATTATATTGTCTTAGTTTGTGGACAACAGAATTATGGATGGATCCAGCTTGGAGCTCCAGCCAAAATGCATCTTCATTTTATATAGAAGTTCGAAACACAAACCTGATCCTGAATTAGATTGTCGCTCACAAAAACAGAGCTTACAAGTCTCCTTTCTTCCTTCAGAAAAATCTGAGAAGGGGATAATTCTTTTGAAAATCACCATTCTTATTTATATAACTCAATCTAAACTTTATAGAGAAAAAAAGTCTGGCTTGACTCAATTATTAAATAATCATCTGCTGATCACTGAAATTTGTTGGAATCTTTCTTTAACCAGGCACTTAAAAGCCCTTGGGTTTTATTTGTTGTGTTTCAGGACACCTGACTTGACTGCAATGACTGTGATCAGAATTTCACCTGTCTGGTAATAATAAATTGTGCTTTCGCAACAATTTCGTGGATAGATTTCTTTCTCTCTTAACTTCATCTTTAAGTTCTTTTTTTCACATCCACTATATTACTTAATGCCTGCATTTTATTCTTGTGGTTTTCTTTCTACTTTTTATCCCCTTTTTTTCCCCTACTTCATCCTTTTGCTGTTCTTCATTTTTGCTTAGTTTAACATTTATTGTGGTTTATTTTTAGGATACATGTATATTTAGGGTGGAATTATAATCTGAACATTTATATGCTGAGTATATGTTTTTGTTGGAGAAATATATAATCGACGACTGTTCTTATTCTTCTGAGAAATGCCAATAACAAATGGCAGGCTCCACTTCAATGAATCCTCTACTGCTTTAACAAAACAAAACATTGAAAGCAGGCAGATGAAGTACAATAGGATAATCTTTTCAATTACAGCAGTTTATCCTGGGGTCAAAAATATTGCAAATGTTGGTGTTTGACTGTTTTGCATCTGTCATAATCTTATGCTAAAATACTATTGAAATGTCAGTAACATATTTTGCAAAAAACATGGAACAGATATACTGTAAATAATCACATTGAGAGGAAATAACACACTTGAATCTGGAAATTCCTTTTTTACTTCTAGGAAGATTTCTCAGTTTATTTAGATGTTAAAGAGATCTATTGCCCTTTAAAGTACAGTATTAATAGCAGTGTTAGTTTAACTGCCCTTTTCCCACACACATATATTTTTTCAGACTAACACCTACTGATACACTTTTCAAACACTTAAATCTCCTTCAGTTCTCAAAGTGCTCTTCTGTCTTCATTTCTGGATGATGGTCACAGAGCATAAAGCCTACTGGAATAAACACAGTTTCTGAATGCAAGTTCCACAGGTTTCGTTGCTGCTTGAGCATGCACATAGTTCCCAAAGATGCATTTGCTTAAAAAAAAAAACCACTGAGCTAAGACCTCTTTAAAAAATTATTATTATTTGCCATGGCCAATTCTCCTTTGAATCTAATATAACTGGATAGAATTCAAAAGAAGCGTTACAGAGTAAGTGACTGAGTAAGGATAGGCAGGGCTACATATTTAAAGTGAGGCACCCACATGAGCCAAAGGGACATACCAATACACAGGAAGGCTCTGGTGACATTATTGGCACCACTCAGCTCTAGTAAATTTTTTACTTTTACCTTTGCTACATTAATCCACAATGTTTGGTTGTTGTTGTTGGTTTTTGTTTTTTGGTTTTTTTTTTTACAGCTGGTCTTTTTTGTTAGGTGTAGAACATCTACTGTGAAGTAGTAGTTTCCAAAATAGCGGATTGGGGAACAGGGAGGTCATTGAGATTTGGAAGGGGGTTGTTTGTGTATTTGTTTTCTTACAGCTGGCAAAACCCCAGCAGCTATTCTCCAGAAATTTCACAAGAAACATTCATATGGGCAGGAAATCTACTGGCAAGAAATGGCAGATGAAAGAGTTATGTACTGCTGAATGAGAGTTTTGCACCTGCACGTTGCTTAAGTTGGAGAACATGCTATTAATATAATCACAATAGCATAACCAGCAGGATGCGTAGTCATTTACCAAGAAGATTTCATTTTGAGACTTCATGGACACTTTTGGTATTCATGTAAAACAAGGAGTTGAATGAATTTCAAATGTGCACTAAATGGAAAAAAAACAAAACAAAACAAAACAGTTAAACAATTTCTATCGGGATATCACGTTTAAAATTAAGACAAGAACTGTGTAACTGAGCCTAGATCAGTCTATTGGAGATCCAAGGACACCAGTGGGATTACAGGGTTGTCCAGTTAGGGTCAGAGAAATCCTCCTTCAGACCCATTCACTGGATTATGTTTTATTTCTACTTTATGGAGAAACCATTTTTTTTCCCTTCAGGGTCATTACACTTAGACTGGAATAGAGCTGTTCAAAAAACTCCTGTAGAACAGTTTGGGGGGTCAGGATTTGGTAATTCACTGAAACCAAAATATTTCCAATGAGTATCAAAACATAACAATGAAGTTTCAAAACAAGTGTTGTCCCCGTTTTGAAACCTAGAAACCCTGAGGTCTCTAGTTCAAAGGTAGGATATTTGGTAGGCCATCCTGCAATGACAGGCCATCAGTCCTCTATCCTGGCAGTCAGAGGGTTGAGCAATGGTCTGCCAGCCAGGCAGGACTCCACCAGAGCCCTGCAGGCTTCCAGAAGAACTTAGCCAAAATCCATCTGTCCCTGCAAAAAGTTTAGATTTCAGTCAACTGCCAAGGTCTCTCTGCAGTTTGCCAAATAGCTTTCCTTCTGAGACTGGTTCCATCAGCTTTTCTGCATAGAAATGTTTTTTTCCAAATAAACCATTTCACCCCAAACCAACCATTTTATCTACCTCAATAATCACCTAGATCACGCAAAATGGTGTACCATCCCTGGATTTGTCTCTGGAACCATGATGCTGCTTCAGTTTTCAGGCACAGAAAGGTTATTACAGACCTTGGAGATGTGCAGTTCAGGCTTTCCAAGCTGACCAACACCTCTGCCACGCAGTCAGTCTCCTCCTTACGGAATTTCACCTCGAGTGGTTTTTAAAGAGTCTTAGGGAGGTAATGCCCGGTGCTTCCCAAGGTGAAAAGGCTGAGACGCGGCCAAGGTGGTTCATGAGGAATTTTGGCCCTCTCCTACTGGGATCTGAATTGCCAGGAAATGAAGAGAAAATATAATTGTGAAGAAACTACTAAAATCCACTAAAACGGTATCCATTAAAAACAGCAATACAGAAACACACAACCTATATTGTTATCTCCTGTATATCAACACAAGACATACGACAGCAATTGTAAGTGCCCCGTGGAGGGGAATGCACTGCTGAAACTCTGCAATACCATGGTACAAGAGCTGCTGCCCAGCCACACCTGCTGCCCAGGCCAAATTTTCCTACATGATAGATAGGCCAGCCTCCCTCAAGAGTTATGGGAGAAACCTACTCATCTGGAAGGTCACAATTTAATCCACCAAAAGGCTAAAATACCAAGCACAGCTTGTGAACTGAGGGGAGACAGTGAATGAGCATCCCTAGAAAACCATATGGTCATCAAAGATATTCTACTCCTATAGGCAAAAATGTTTGGGGGGCTGACCCACAGTGGTTTATTCATAGATTTCCTGAGCAAGATTGTTCAACAGTCTCCATACCAGGTAAACTGTTGCTTTCACCTGAATGAGAATTTTACTACAGTCTTTAAAGACAGCTAAATCAACATAGCATGCATCAGCATGTTATGAGCATCAGTGTCTTCTGAGTTTTGTTTTCTCTCCTTCATTCACTGCAAATCTACTGAGTTGCAAGGAATACTGAGTGAGAAAAGCAATTTTAAATTGCATGTTTATCATTTTGATGTAATTTGAACAACTAATCTACAAACTTTATCATTTTGCTGTAAGAAGAAATAAAAACTATATAAAACTTGTAAAGAATCATAGAGTACTCATTCAGACTGCTGACAGTCAGTAAATGCCTCAAAAATCGCTCCCACTTCTTTACTGAGACTAAAATTCAGCAGTGCAGTGAACTTGACTATAAAATCAGTGTATCTGCCCCAAAAGGAGAATGCTTTTTCTTTGCAGCAACGTAGTTAAAATGCATTTGTGGGACAGCAGGCTGGCACTGGGCCGTGAAAGGTATTCACCATTTTGTAAAACAAAGCAGCCATCCATAATCTTTTTCGTTTCCAGATAATAAAAGGAAAGTCTCATTTTGCAACTATAAAAAAAAGTTAAAGCAGTACAGCTGTAAGGAGAAACCCAGTCCACTTGTGGTTTAAAGAGCTCCACGCCTACTGTATATAAAATAATACGCTAGTATCATTAGCATAGACAACAGCTTGTTTTCAATTTGGCTGCAGATAATGAAATTATCCCCCAAATTACCATAAAGTGGAACAAATAAACACAAAAGCAAACCCTTTTTTTTCTTTTTTTTTTTTTTTTTTTTTTTTTTTCCCCTCCAGCAGCGCTGGCTTTCAGCTATTTAGAATAAAAGCGAAGCTTCTGTTTTTCCAGAGCTCCATTTTGACCTCAAGCAGATAAAGAACATGAAATGACAAACACGCAGCAAAGAGTTACTGTGTCCTTCCCCCCCCCTGGCCTCTGTTTACATTAGGAAATGTACCCGGGGAGGAGGGAAGGGGAGGCAGGAGGGCTGCCTTTCAGCGCCCTGCTCAGCTCCGCTGGCTCGGGCTGGAGCTGGCCCCTGTTTCTGAGTAAGCTTACTCCACTCCAGATGTGCCTCGGCTCCAGCGTGGCTGCCATGTACAGTAAATCGGCATCTGAGGGCTCGTCAATCTGTGGGGTAGAGCAATTGCGGTTTCGCCAGGCCGCCCCACTGGCACAAACAGAAATTTGCGCCGCTGAACTGGAAAAGGAGGAGGAGGAGGAGGAGGAGGAGGAAGGGGCGACCGGGAGGGAAGGAGGCAAATAACGGGAGAGCAGTGTGTGAAAGGTGAGGGGCTGGAAGGTGTCTGCTCCCGGGAGGAGAAGGGGAAGGAATAAACACTAACAGCCGCCGGGGGAAATGTTCTTAATGCATTTGTAAATTTACTTGTAAATGTTTTACACTTAGAGAGAAAGGGGAATGCTGCGTATCATTTGGCAGTGTTGGCTGTCTATAGGTCCCTGTGGATATACTGGTTTAGTACGACTTGTAACCAGGGCAAGAGAAACATAAAATAGCTGGGAAAACACAGCCAATTAGTCATTACACGTAGATTGTAAAAACAAGAGAGAGAGAGAGACAGAGACAGAGAAATAAATACCCCTAGCAAATTGAGTCCCTCCTGTTTATGTCCCTGCAACATGAGTACAGAAAAGCGGAGGCAATGACGCCTTCTAGTCAAAGTGCAACCTGCAAACCAGTCAGTGCTCCCATTCAAAATCCTCCAGGATTTCCTGACGGTCACAAGATTTACCTATTTGCTGTCATTGTAAAATACAAATTGTTTCACTAATCAGGCAGTTTGCTTTGGACCTGACCCCAGTTGTACAAACTCCAAGTTGGACGTTCATTTCTGATCTCCTGCCGCCTACACAGCCGTTGCTAACTGAGTTTTAATAGGATGAGAAAACGACCTTTTCTTTTATAGTGGGTTCAAATGAGCTACCCAGCTTCAAGCTGACTATAGCTGTGTTTTCCTAATCACCATTTTTTATAGAAATTCTGAGGACGAAAATGCCTGCTCTCCCTCCCTTCTCTTCCAACAGTGCCAAGTCTAGGAATGTAAATAAGTGTTAAATTGAAACACAGAACAAAAATGGGTCAGATTTAGTGTAATTGAGTCATAGTTAAATTTAGGCTGCTTTTATTTGCAAATGTGCACTTTAGGAGCAGCTTTATACAGCATCTCTGGGTAGAATGAGATGCCTCGTTTATTTATTATTTTTATTGTGGTTGTGCCTGAAATTCTCAGCGAAGGCTCCCAGTCCCACTGTGCCATGCACTGTAAAAGATGAGCTACGCATTTTAAAGACTCTCCTTTGCCAGAGAGGCTATCCTCTGGATACATCTGGGTTAAATGGCAGCATCTTAACTAGACAGAAATATTGACAGCTTTCACAAATTTTCAAAAATTGTGAATCAAATCTGAAAAAAATCATGAGGCTGCAGGAAAAAAGTCATATGATTTTCCAAAGGGCATATGCAGCATCGTTTCTTGTCTCCTAATTTGTGAGTTTTCAAATGGTCCCAACACCCTGTAAGAGTATGAAAGCTGTTTTTTTTAAAAAAGGAATGCTCAGATTCTTGCTGTATCCCTCTGTTTAAAGAATGAAGGCTTAAAAACATCAAATATCATTAGATTTGAAATAACGCCATTACACTTGGCAATACAACAGAGTTGTATATGGGACTTGATTTTCCTTAGCACCCCTTTGACAGGATGGGGTAGTAAGTTCTCTTCCCTCTGGGTTAAATCAATCCTGCGAGGTACAAGGTGCTCTAATTCTGACTGTGAAGAACATACGTAAACATAAACAACGAAGCAAAGTAAGTGTGATTATTCTTATGCAAAAATTTCATACTGAGTTTTCAGTCACTGGAGGCACTGAGATTATTACCTTAGATGCAGGCCAATAGTGAAGCTCAGCAAGCCCCCAGCAAGCAAGGAGGCAAGCATCTGCCAAAGAGGATGAGTTCATGCACAAAGAACATGTGTCATACTACCAGCTCTTCTATGCTGACCAGAAGAACACAGGCTGCCTCCCACTTCTTCCTCTCACCTCAGTGTCCAGCCCATGCCCCAGCTAGGCCCCAAAGAGAGTTTTCACCACTCTTTATGCCTTGTACAGTCATTTACAGCAGGACAAAGTGGACATAAAACAAGTATGTTGAATCAGAAGGGCAAGACTCGGATCAAAATTACAACAAAAACTGACTGTTTAAAATTAGTCTGGCCAAATCGATGGTAAATGTACAACAGGGACTTCCCTTAAGTTGATAGAAATATGAACTGGGTGATTGAACAGGTGTTTTCAACGGCCAGCATTTCCGTGCAGAAAGGCAACACAGACGGGTCTCATTAGACAGTAGCTGGCTTTAGAGAGGAATGTGACTTTTCCCACCCAATGTTGAATGAGTGGCCCAGGGGAAATGTGATACTTTGGAGGACACCAAGAGCAGCACAGTTCTTAGCTCATCCACCACAATAATGGCACTAATTTGAGAATAAGTGAGCGTAAAGCTGATAATAGTTGTCTGTAAAGAACCATGTATGATGGTAAGATGATATCACACAATGCTAAGTGACCATGGAGGAATGTATCTAGAAGCCAGGATGCAAAATGAGTGAAGCATGAAGAGGGTGTTGAAAATGAATCAGTGAGAGAGATAGGCACAGCAGAGCAAACGGTGCGGTCCCTCTTCAGAAAAGCCCCTCTCAGTACTATGCTCCTAACTCACAGCTCTTCCACTTTAGCTTAACCATGTTTTTACAATGTGAAATCAAGTCCTTGTTGACATGTGTATTGTAAGTTTGGCCACTTAACCTCAGGTTTATTGTGAGTATGGTCAAAAAGGACAATTTCTCTGACAAAAGTTCAAAAAAAGACAAAATCCACTGATAATCTCACTAAAATATGGCATCTTCTTTCTTTGATGGCTCAACTAATGCAATGTGCCCTCTTGCAAGACGGCTGTTAGTAACAACTCAAGAAAAATTGCCTGCAAAAGAAAAGACAGTTCGTATTTCCAACAATAATTGCATTTTAATTGTGCATTAGAATCTTGGATCTGCTATTTTCTTTGGGTTTTCCTCTATACGCATTCCAATGCACCTGACAACTGAAGGAAGGACAGTACTGTCCAGCCATTGTCTGGGCAGATGTTATGTAAATTACCACAAATGATTCTGCCAAGCCTCCCTCTTACACAGACCTCTGACACCTGCATTATTTGGAAGGATTACTTTCCGTATCAGTGACTTTTCCCCAGGGACTGAGACAAGATGAGCAATCGAGAATGTGGCTGTAGAGCAATCCTGTAGAGCAGATAGGGAATCAGTTATCTTTCCCTACTTATGGAATATGCAGCAGCCCTGTGTTCCAAGGAAGACAAAGGTGGATTACTTCACGCATCTCCCCAAAAAAGTGGAGCTTAACAGAAGTTTGTTAAGTATCCTGTCTACAGTCGTTTAAAAATAAAATACTCTAGAAGGACTGCAAAAATAATTGTAATTCTAATTGTCTATAACACAAACTGCAAAGTAGGCATTTCTGTTCATAAAAGAACTATCAGTGAGTCCACCAGGCTTATATATGCCAAATATTTGACATCCCAGTAGCATGCTCTTTATGATGCCTTTGACACCTGCAGAGAAAATACATCAAATCTGTAGCAGCAGTATTAGGTAATGCACTAGAGTTCAATGTTCAAAACATCCTGTTCTTTACATAGCCTCTTGTCTTACACAAAAGCAGTTAAAAATAATAGAGCTTGTTCAAGCGCCAGATTTGCAAGCTTGTGTTCATAGACTTTGTAAGGCTCATCTTGCAAGGTTGTTTTGTTATACCTGTGGGCTGGGAAAGGGAAGGCAGGAGAAGGCACAGGAGGGAGGAAAGCTTTGCAAATGGATGGTTTCAAGCTTTCAGGAAAAAATGAAATATCTTCAACCACTGTGCTTTTATAACTGTTAATTTACTTTTCTGAAAAGCAAAATTAATAAGAAGCGAAATTTGTAAGAAGTGAGTGACAGAATAAGTATCCTGTAGCTGGACTGGAGATAGATTAAAGTCATGGAATATTTATATTTGTAGTTTGAGATCTGGAGGCTTGGATCAGCTAATTAGTAAGATAGATGCCATTTGCAAAACTTGGATGTTGATCCTGATGCAGATTTTGAGCTCATCAATCTTTTGGAATGTTTAGAGGAGAGGAAGTTTGGCTCTCCTCTCAAATTTCACACTAGAAGGCTCTAGCTGGCTTCAGTGATGAAAGAAAAAATGAAAACAAAACAAAAAAAAAATGGCTCTATGTAGGCTTCTACAGCCTTGCTATGTAACATGTACATTGTAATAAACTCAGTGTTGCTCTTACAAAACTATGGGAGCACTAGACCTTCTCCTTACTGGGATCTGGAGTTCCTATTATTGTTGATGGAAATCTGAGCAGAGCAATGCAATCCACCAGTGCTTTATGTTCTTGTCACATTCATGAGTCCTGTGACTAATCTTTTTGCAATCAAGACCCAAAGCTATATTTGATCACTTTATTCTTATTTTCTCAGGTTGTTGACAGCTTTGCTGTTATTCATTCAGTTTATGAAATGCTCATTTTCACTGGGAAGCAGCATATTGATAGTGTGTTGGACTGGGAATAAAGGGGCCTGGCTCAGCACATCAGTGGAGTCTGGTACCAACTCCTGGCCTTTGAAACATTTCTTAAGCACAGATTGTATTTACAGTTATCAAGTCTAAAAACCGTTAAGACCTTCATTATTGCTTAACAAGGTGCTTTGAGGTCACAGATGAAAAGCACCGGGAACAAATAACAGTAATTTGTACAAAAAATAACAAATGCTGCAGAATGAAGCAGCAGATCACAAACAAGCTGAATTTCACACTTCCACTGAGGAGTCTTCAGTTTGTACCAGATGAGATTTGAGTCCAGCTATTTTGTCCAAATACCTACATACAGTCTATTTGTAACTTATCCCTCATAAAGCTCTTCCTCTTACTTCCTGTGAATAGGAATATTGCAAAACTGCACAGAGGAAGTGGAAGTTTAAAAGCTTTGCAGAGACCAGATGGAAAATGTGATAGGAAACTGAAAAACAAACATTTTGTGTTTTCATATATATTAATTACACTTAACAAAGGTTAACTTCCACTCATATCTTTCCTTCAATTTTTTTACCCAGAACTTTTAATTCTTGTACTAATAGTTATACACTGCAAGGTCTTCTACCAATAACAATAATAAGAGTCTGGTAAATGTTTTATTATCAAAGGC